CAGCAAGGCCAGTGACGTCTGTGAACTGGAGAGCAGTGTCTACCTTTCTTTAACATTAAATTTAAACAAAAAGAGGAAGAGGTATAATTGCCTACCTCTAAGTGATCTGCCCCCAGGAGGGGACTGAGTACTCTTCATGTAAAGCAGGGGCTTTATATGCTTGGTTGCACCATGGGAATCACCCAAGGAACTTAAAAAGAACATACTGATGCCTGGCTCTCATTGCCCAAAATTCTGAGCATTGGTGTCGTTCAATAAGTTCTTTAGGTGATTCTAATGGGCAGCCTAAGTTGAGAATCACTAACCCACAGTTCAGCTTGGAGTTGACAGCAAGTGCAAAATGATTTCTATTTTCCTCATTGACACACTCAGGCTTGCCTGAGCTGAGTGTCTGCCGAGGTGACTTGACCTGCCTGCAACTTGTGTGATGTCTGATGGAGCCAATTTGCCTGCACTGGGATTCGCATTTGAAGAAAGTTCAAATGGATGCCTGAGACAATTGAGGACTCTTTCCTTTTCTTCTTTTCTTTTGTGAGGTCACTCTACTTACCGGTGTACTGCCAGCTCAAAGCAATAACGGTTTTAAAGCTTGAGAGAATTGGAAGTCTAATTTGGGTGGAGGGGGAACAGGGATGTTTCTACTGAGAAAAAATAGTCTTTCTGTTTTTGTACCCATTTGTGCTGGAGTCATGTCAGGAAAGCGCTGAGTGCCTTCCTTCTGGTATCTGGGTGTGGACAGCTGCTTCTCTGGGTTGTTCAGCTTCAGGCGGGGCTGGCCAGGAAGAAGGAAGGCAAGATGAGTGGTACTTACAGGCTTTGGGAACATAAGTAAAAGCTCCTTGCAGTGTCCTCAGTCAGGTGGCAAGCTCTGGCTGCACCACCAGCCAGGAATCCAGAAGAAAAAATTATACTGATGTTATTCAGTGCTAAAAAGAAATGAGCTACGAAGCCATAAAAATTCATGGGGGAACTTTAAATGCATACAACTAAGTGAAAGATGTGAAACTGAAAAGGTTCCATATGGTCTGAGTCCAACTATATGATAATTGGAACAGGCAGAACTATGAAGAATGGTAGGAAGATTAATGGTTGCCAGGGGCTAGGAGGGAGAGAAGGACGAACAGGCCAGACACAGAAGGTTTTTAGAGCAGTAAAACTGCTCTATGTACTCTAATAATGAATACATATCATTATGTATTTGTCAAAACCCATCGGATATCTAACACCACAAGTGAACTGTAGTGTCAACTGTGGACTTGGAGTGATAATGGTGTGTCAGTGTGGGTTCATCAGCTGTAACAGATATCCCACTCTGGTGGGGGACATTCGTGGTGGGGGTGGCAGTATTTGCCTGGGACAGGAAATATACGTTAACTCCCTATGCTTTTTGTTCAGTTTTGCTTTGGAGCTAAAACTGCTTTAAAAAAATAGGCTATTAAAATTTTTACTGGCAATAATGTGGATAAATGCTACAGTAGAAGAATTTTTTTCTGGGATCTCATATTTTAAAGACAGAGCAGATATGAATATGTAAGGTGAGTAAGTAAAGAAATATCTTATTTGCTTCCCCCACCCCAAACAACTCCTTAACGGTTCACAGAATGTTGGGATTTTGCCTGGGAAAAATGAGGTGAAATGCTGGCTGGGTGAACTCCCTCTCCACCTGAGGTCAGCAACAGTGGAAATGGTTGTGGGAACTTTTGATATGAACCTGAAGCTTCATCCTTGCTATGGGGGTCTCTCTGTGAGACAAGCAGACCCCATCCCCCAAGCCCAGCTTCCCCAAAGGCCAACATTGATAGCTCAGAGGTGGCTCTCCTTCCTTTCCCATCCTGATTTTATGAAGCCTTGCAGAACATCCCTGATCCTAACCCTAAGGCCTGAGAGCCCCACAAGGAGAGGGAGGGATCACTCGATCTCTATGCTCTAAAAAGCTATGTTGTTCAATCTAAGTAATGGGATCGATAGGTTCAAAGTTTATCGCCTGTTCATAAGTGGTATTGATCCCTTTAATACCCCAGCTAGCTCTTGGTAAATGGAATTCATGTTTTTAAATGTGAATTTCTATACTATTGATGGCTTACATTTTTATTTCTGTCTTATTATGAAAATAATATGTGTTTATTGTGGGAATATGTCAGCAGCAGAAGAAAAACACCTGTGATTCTGCCACTTCGGAGGCAGCCATTGCTAATGGTGTGGTGTATAGCTCCTCCAAAGCACAGGGAGAGAATCCAGGGGAAACATCTGTGTATTTGCAGCATCATCAATGTCTCCACCTCACCTCAAAGAGCTGTAAAGAGCACAGTTAATTCTACTTGATCGTTGGTCCCTTAGGAATCTTGGCAAATGTTTAATTTGTAAGGCAAGTATACCCAAGCCAACTCACAATCTACTATGCAGTTGGCTACAAATGGTTGAAGTTATTTCTTTAAATCCTGCTAAAAGAACTTTATGTCTCCTCGCCACTAAATTTTGACATCTTATCTCACAGTTAATAGCATCTAATGGTTGTCTCTCCAGGTAATGTAATCCAGCTGGAGATGCAAGGTATGCAAAGCCCATGTTTTAGAACAAAAGGGTATTTTTCTCTCACCAGTAAATAAAAGTGATTGTTCAGCTATAAAAGGACAAAGGGTTTTAAAATTATTCCACTGGGCAGAGTTTCCTAGATTTTTTTTTTTGGCACTTGACCATGGAGCTAACCTAGCATCTTCCAAACTTCTTCCATTTTCATAGCAAAGAATTCACTGAGTGAGCCTAGAGTCACTCCATGGTGGGATGGTTGAAACCCAGGGCCCTCTTAACCAGACATGCAGCGTGTCATCAGCAAACGATGGTCAGTGTGCAGGAAGAACTAAACACATCCTTTTTCTCCCTTAACTGCCTCCCCTGCCCACTCAAGGCTGTATGTTTTCCTTTTTGAGGAAAAACATTCAACATTTACCACAGTAACTGTAACCGAAAGGGTAAGCTTTGTTGAGAAGTTATCAAAGATGCTTAATGTAACCAAGGCATTTCCCCAACATTTTCAAGATTTAAACAGCTCTGTGACATCAGGTCTCCTTTTTTTATTTTCTCTGTATGTTTCATAGCCCTGAAACCCAAGAGAACTGTTGTCTACTCTGATTGCTCTATTGCAAGAAGAAGTGGTCCACCCCTTGGTCCCAGTTGCCTTCTTAAGACATTGCTATTGCTAGAGACAGAGGATAAATTTATGTGAATAATTGAGATCAATTTGCCTCAAAGTGTGTGTTGAGGAATCAGCACTGTTGTTGGTGCTTTACATGAATTGCCAACAAGATCAATAGCAACAACAACTGCTGGTGACATCCCAGTCAGTGTTCTAAATACCTCGGCATGCTTAGTTGCTTCATCCCGATGGTAACCCCATGGGGTAGAGGCTATTATTATCCCTGTGTTGCAGGTGAGGACAGCAAGTCACACAAAGGCAAGTAGCTGAGCCAGAATTTGAACATGAACAATTTGACTCAAGAGCCTACCCTCCGAACATGATTAAATTGATATGAAAACCCCACATATTGGTGATGGTGTCCCCAATTTATAGATGAGAAGTTGGGGTTCAGAAAGATTATCATCTTTGCAATAACTCCTCATACCTGGCAAGCAGCAGAGTTTGGTTGAAAACCCTAGTTCCAGAGCCTCCCCCATGTCTCCCCATTATACTACATTTGTCATGCAATAGTGTATGTTCCTTTGTATTCAGGGCTCTATTCACATTGGAGGGAGCTTATGATTGGCCAATACACAGATGCTTAAATGGGCCTACAACACATACTTCTGGGTTCTTTTTGTACAGGAAACTATCTGTTTAGACTGCTCTCATTCATGTGAATGCCCATGAATCTGCATCTCTTTCTCTATAAATAGTTGCAGGGTTAAGCTTTGCAGTTTATTTCTGCCTTCAGGACTTTGTGGTCATTGTCCCTCTGCTTGGAACGCTTTGTCCTGAGATCTTGGCAGACCGACTTCTTCTCAGGTGTAAACTCAGATGTCATCACCTCAGGGGGGCTGATGCTGACTACCTGTATTAGTTTCCTACGGCTCCCATAATAATTATCACAAAATGGGTGGCTTAAAACACCAGAAATGTACTATTCTCTCATAGTTCTGAAGGCCAGAAGTCCAAAATTGACGTGTTGGAAGAGCCTCCTTCCGAAGGCTCTAGGGGAGAATCCTTTCCTACCTCTTTCAATTTCTGGTGGCTTTGTGCATTCTTTAGCTTGTGGCAGCATGACTCCCATCTTTGCCTGTCTCTGTGCCATCTGTCTGTGTCTCCTTTTCTTCTAAGAATACTTGTCATTGGATTTTGAGCCCACCTGGGTAATTCAGGATGATTTCATTTAAGGTCCTTAACTTAATTATATTTACAAGACTGTTTCTCCAAATAAGGTCACATTTGCAGGTTCTGGGTGGGCACACATACCTTTTGGGGGGCTTTTGTCAAACCCCACTGTAGGTAAATTACCTCATAGATCAAGAAGCCTTTGCTGCTGTTACAGTCTGTGACATTATCACCCAGTTAGTTTTTTTCTTAGCCCTTGGCCTTATTTGATGCATCTTGTTCTTTAATTTGTCCACTCTTCTGTTGCTACCCACCTCCACCTACTTGAATTCAAGCTTTATGAGTATTGCTGCTGTGTCCTAACTACTCAGACCAATGCTTAATCTAGGGTAAAAATCACCAAATACTTACCAAATGAATGAGACTGTTCGGCAAGTGTGCTGTCAACTTGGCTCCTTTTAATAATTCATAGGACCTTATTTTATTTATTTTCTATTATCTTATGTTATTTGAATTTCAGTTACATGTTTTTGGAAATATAAGTATTTTATGGGACAGATATTTTAACACAATGAATAAATAAATATATCCAGGCATTTCAATGTGACAATTGCTGTCTGGTCTTCAGAGTTCATTTAGTTTTTACTTTCCCCCCAGGAACAAATCCTCAGCAGAATATTTCTTTCTCTCCTAGGCTCTGATCACCTCCGGGAGAAAGATGGCCTTTGGGCTGTCTTGGTCTGGCTCTCCATTATCGCTGCCCGGAAGCAGAGTGTGGAGGAAATTGTCCGAGATCACTGGGCCAAGTTTGGCCGTCACTACTATTGCAGGTGAGAAGAGTGCAGGTCTCTGTATGGGCCCTGGGGTACTACTCTCAGAGAAGGTCTCTAAAGCTGGCGGACTAGAACCTTGAGAAGGAGGCATCTTTCAGGAAGACCTGAGGCACAGAGAATGAAGCTGGGTAACCCCTGATAGGTGGTTTGGGGTGGTGTCAAGGACTACCAAACTGGAGGGCACAAATTTTCCCTCTCCCAGCCACATCCCTCTGTGCCTATAAGGTGGGCAGCCATCTTAAGAGGGAATCTGAACTGCAGAACCTTGAGAGGTTCTTCGGTGCTTATAGGATTGTAAAGTCAAACCAGGGGCTTTCCTTGTTTGTTCTCCACCCACAATTATCAAGAAAGGTGGGCGCAGAGACAGAAGCTGTGACAGGTTGGTGTGCTTTTGTAATCTTCTCCCTACCTTTGTCTTACCTCCCCACTAATGGTCCAGACCATGTCCTAGCTGGCTGAACTGGTACCCTCTGACAAGGCCACATGATTCAGGAGCCCCAGAGTTTGCTATAGTTTATCCCCATAAAAGGAGGTACAGAAAAGGGAACAATTACCCTGGGAAGAAGGAAGGGAAAAGGTCAGTGGTAATGAGCTTAGGGTTAGAGGGGTTCTCTACCACCTTCCTGTTGTTGAAGGAAGTGAGGCAGCAGAGTCTTCCGGCTGTGCTGTTGCCTGCTAGGTGTGTGTCCCTAGTAACCAAGCCATGGTTTAGGGGAACAGCAGTGGGGAAGGATGTTAGGAAAGAACGTGGGAATTGGGTGAGGGAATCCTTGGGTACTCTTAGAGGCTCCCTATGTATTAAAAACAGATTGTGGATCATTTGCTTTGCTTATAAATAGTTAACCACTTTGGATGTTTGGTTGTGTTTCAAGAGCCTGAGGACAGAAAGAAAACTTTAGACTTCCCTTATAAGGTGATTGTTTCTTAAGAGGTCATTTACTTAGATAAATATCAGAATAAGGAAGCCTGTGGTTGTACTCATTAAAATGAAAGAGACTGCAGTGTTCTGGCAAATGTCAATGGCACCTTAACATTCTCCGTTCCTGTTCAGTCATGAAGGCTGAAGATACGGAACGCTGTGATCCACCCCCAGTTATTCATGGTGTCCTAGAATAAGGACTCTCAGGCAGGTGGGAACTTGTTTGAGCCCGTAGTATTTCTAACAAGTGCCAAAAATTCCTGCTTCTTGAGGGCTTTTTTTGGCATACAAAAAGGGGGCTAATTGGTACAGAAAATCTTTCAATTGAACAAAGCTGTTTTGAAAAGTCCAATGTGATAAAGTATATTATGATTGCTAACCACTGGCTTAGTGAGAGTGCTTCAAGTCAGGGATGTGTTGCTCATAATTTGTGGAATGATTAGCTTTCTGCCAGTGTTCTGAAGATGTGGTGTTATGATAAGTGTATTTATAATATAGTTCACTTTTTGTGGCCAAGAGCTTGCATGATAATTACTTTTTTCATAACAAATACCATATTAGAGAATATAATGCAGTGGAGATTTGAATTCTTGTTGGACATTGTTTTATGTTTCAGATTTCTGTCCAAAAGATCAGAGATAAAGAAAAAGGGAGAAGGGAAAGGTAGAATTAAAGGTAAACATTTCCTTCAGCCTCCAGCAAATGCAGATTAAAAGGTTCTTGTGAAATAAAATTATTTCTAGTCTGTTTTCTTAGTGGAGAGGAAATAATGAGACAATTTTGGTTTGCCTAACAATAAGCCTAAAGTTGTATCTGAGAACCCAGATGATTTTCCTTATACGAGTGGACCCTGGAAGTTCTCCATTCCGAGGCTTCTTCCCTTGGACATGTGGTGGTGGAGGTCATCAGAGGGGGAGGCAGTGCCAGGACCTGCTTGCATGTAAGATGAGCATTTGGGCAGGCCGGTCTGATGACTTCAGCCACAGACTGAATGTGATCTGTTACGTTAGTGGGTGTTCTCAATTTTTGAATCACTTTCAATGCTTCTTGATCTCCTACTAGACCCACTTATTGCATCATCCCGCCCCTTTTTGCTTAGTTAGGTCTTTACCTTCCCCTAAAATCTACCTTTAAAGAGAATCTAGGCTCAGAATGCATACACTGATGAGAAAGAATGTTCTGAGTTCCCTGTTGTTTTGCTTCTGAGGCTGGGGAAGACACACCTGTGTAGGAGAGAGAGAATAAAAGAAATGGGTAAAGGCTCAGGGGACATGTTGCTGGACATGATATATTCTCCATTTTGGCTGATATCCTGATGTTTACTTAAAATGTGTTGTGTGGAGAATGTAGAAACAATTATTCAGATCTTCCTTCTTTCACTCTGACAATGCATTCTTTCCCCATGTTACAGGCAGCCCAAATGTGAGGTCCCAATATGGCCACTTGAACACAACTGCCCTTCTAAGGGCTTGCTTCTTCCTCTTCTTTTTTTTTATTGATTTTAGAGACAGAGAAGAAGGGAGATAGATAGATAGATAGATAGATAGATAGATAGATAGATAGATAGATGCAAACATCAATTTATTGTTTCATTTATTTACACATTCATTGGTTGATTCTAATATGTGCCCTGATGGGGGATTGAACCCACAACCTTGGCATATCAGGATGATGCTCTAACCAACTGAGCTACCTGACCAAGGCCAGGGATTATTTCTTAAACACACTCTGGTTGTACCATTAGATCTGAGTCAAAAACTATCTGACATTGGGAAAGACCCTATAGCTTTTTTATGGCAGTGACTAAGAATAAAAGTAATTAACAGTTTTAAGCAGTGGTGTCTGGCACTGTGCCAGCTACAGTACTTGGTATCCATTTTCATATTTAACCTCCCTAAGAAGAAATGAGATGACGGTTATTTTTAAACCTTTTTTTATCTAATCACCCCTTAGCCCTGTTGTTATATTTGATGATCTTGGCTAGAAGGACTTTTTTCTTTTAATGGAAAAATGTTGATATTTCTTCCAAGTTTCCATGAGAGTTTTATGGTATATTGAACTCTGTTTTTCTCTCTTCTCCTCCTTTGATTCATCTTTCTCCTTCGATCCTCCCTTTTCTCCCATCTTTCATTCCACTACTTATAAAACACTGGCTACTTACCAGAAGCAGCCAAGAACAAAACAGGTAAAGACTCTGCCCTCCAGGAGCTTACAGTTTTTGTGGGCAAAGGCAGACAAAAAATACTGGAATAAACAAATATACAAACAAGGTAAATACAAATTAGGATAACTACCAAAAACATATAAAGGTTAACGAGAGAGGGGGAGAGGTAGAGGGATCTACCCCTATCTCAGATGGATCTTCAGAGAAGGTCTCTTTCTGGAGGTGACACTAAGTTTGAAAACTGGAGGAAGAGAATGCACCAGCTGTTTGAGTAGCCAGGGCAAGAATGTAGCAGGTAAAGGGACAGACAGCAAGCCCGAAGGCCCAGAGGCAGGCGGTAAAGCATCTCTGAAGACTGGAGAGAAGGCCAGTGTGGCTGGAACACGGTGAACAAGGGAGAAAGCAGGACAAAGGCCAGTGAGGAGGTGAGCAGGGCCAGATTCCTCAGGGCCTTACAGACAATGGTTAGGGTTTTGAGTCTTGTTTTCAATGTGATGGACACTTTTGGAGGAATTTAAAGGAATGGAGTGACATGACTTGATTTTCACAAGACCGCTCTGGCTGCTGTGTGGAGAATGGATTGTTAAGAGCCAGGTGGAAGAGGGGAGACTAGTTGGGGGTACTTTTCTGTGTGGTTCTTCCATGAAAACAAAACCAATGATCAGATGATGTTTAGAGGTTCATTTAATTGCTCATTCTCTAATTAGGTTTGTGTTCATCTTGTGTCCTGTGTCCCCCTAACCAGGTTTGACTATGAAGGACTAGAGCCCAAGACGACATATTACATCATGAGGGACCTGGAGGCGCTGGTCACAGACAAGTCCTTTATCGGCCAGCAGTTTGCGGTGGGGAGCCATGTCTACAGTGTGGCAAAGACAGACAGCTTTGAATATGTGGACCCTGTGGATGGCACCGTGACCAAGAAACAGGTACTTGCTAAGAAATAACCAGAGAGGTTATCAGGCAGAGCCAGGTGCCAAAGTCTCCTACAGCTAGAGATGATACACTCTGAGTCCTTTATTTTATAGATGAGAAGCCAGTAGCTAGGACTGAGGGAAGCCCTTGGTGAGTGTTACCTACCCAGTAAGTCGCAAAGGGTAAGATTAGAACACAGGGCCCTGAACTTTCACTCAGTAACGAATGGGCCAGTAGACCCAATTCTTTCTTCTGGAATGTTTGCAGCCTGCAGACTCTCTATGTGGTTGTCATTGCTGGTGATAGACTCAGTTAAGCTTCTAAGACCAAAACATCTTTTTCCTTGGGACCCTCAGGTGCAGGGATGTTTCATCTTTCATTATCTATATCATTGAGGAATGGTAGGAACTGAGCAAGACGGGTTTATTACTCCTGGTAGGGGAAGAAACAGGTGGAAAATTTGCCCCACAAAACCCCAAAGGAAGATTTATGGTTCAGAATTTTTATCACCATAGATAAGTGGCAAAAGTAACCACAACTTCTATTATGGTCTCATTTTGTGAATTGTATAAGAGAAGTTGAAAGCTATTATAATTATTTATCTTCTCAGTTTTGTTTGCTCATTGTCTATGGCAAATATTGACCACTCTCAGAGTCAGTTTTAACATTTATAGTCTAAATAAGGTACTCTGAATAACATTAAGAGAAGTTTCACTCTAAAATCCCTAAATTCTTATCTTCGTATAAGTCTTCAGCAAGTATGTACAACAAAACGAATGAGAAGCTGTATGTTTTGGGGGGACTAAGTATAATAGTATTTTATTAAATTAGTAATGCTGTTTTTATTTTGACCAGTATTTCATTCATACTTTTTGTCCTAGGGTACCCTAATTTGCAAATGTTATTTCCAAAGCTCATTGTTATTCTGTTACTCTCTTGGTATTCTCCCTCCAGTCTTAGTTTTATGGTGATTTTTCTTCTCTATCAAAATGTCAGCCTTTCATTCTAGGCCTAGTATGGCCAGACAGATTGGTTATACAGTCTTACTTGGGAAAAGACTAAGGTAGTGGAGAAAATACTGGTTAAGAAGTTTAAAGATCCAGAATTGAATTCTACCCCTGCCACTTGCTAGTGTCTGACTTTTGGAAAGTTGCCTGATTTCTTTGAGCCACAGTTTCTTCCTCATCTGCAAAATATCTGTCTCAGAGTCATTCCAGAAATGGAATGAAATAAAATATACAAAGCTCCTCACTAGCCTTTACACAGGGAGTATACCATACATTTTTTTGTAGTTGTGTTTCATTTCACTCCAGGATGTTTTCTTGACTGGACTGAATTCTCTCCAAAATAATCCCAGTGACTCCCTGGAAATGTGAAGTCAGGAGCTCAGCACATGCCATTTTGAGCCTTTCTGCTTTGGATAAGTCTTTTTCAGTTTTGTACCATATCTCCACATCCATTTTACTCTAGGGACCTCAAAACAAACTTCTCCCCAAGCCAGGGCTCACTTTGTGGTTGTTACTGTAAAAGTTAAAAGTTATAAAACACGTGCCTGCTAAAGTATCTGGGAGGTTTCCGTGCCCCCGAGGAAGGCCGGAACACCAGCTCTGGAAGGAATGTCTGGTCTGTGCTGGGTTCTGGACTCCATCTACTCATGCGAAGCTTGTCTGTTGAGCTCATTTGTTTTGCTCTTAAATCCACTAATACTCTACCATTTTCTTCTTCAGTGTACTCAACATTTGGATACTTTTCTCCTGGCTTTTCTTTAATCATTTACATCAGGCTAATTCCTCAGCTAGGTCTCAAGTTTGGACATTTATTTATCCCATGCCCCCTCCCCTCCAACCCTGAATACTGGTTTCCATTTTTACTCCGTAATTTATTGATATTTTTTTCTTTCCACTCTTTCATTGGAACTTAAATGTGGCCATAAATAGATAAGTGCTACCAGGACCTGCTCCTGGGAGTTGCTCTGGTACAGGAGAAAGGTTGTTCATCTTCCCAGATTCTAGGACCCAAGCGACATCTACATTAGCTAGTGGCCTTGCGTCACCCTGGAGCTTCTCTGTAGGTCTAGGTTTGGCTCAGTGAGGGCTTTGGAGGGGCAGTTAACTCTCATCCCCACTGCCAGTAAGTCACAGGTGGTGCTTTCACCTCAATTGGCCCTGTTGGTGCAGAGGGGGAATTCCTGCATTGCGAGCCTGTTGCTAACCCTCCATCACTGAGGCCCACATCTCAGCATTCTTGGGATGGCAGTAATAGCCAACATTCAATTCCAGGGACAGTTGAGTCTAGGGCACACCTCATGTAGCATTTCTCTAGGAGGCAGATGGCTATATCTCCAGTGTTTTCTTGTGTTGGAGTTAGATAGACAGGTTTAAAAGCTGGCTTTGCTACTGCTTAGATTTGTGACTTTAGTCATGTTAACTTCTCTGGACCTGACCTTAGTGGTGGGGGCGGGTGACACTGATAATAATGACCTTTTAGGGTTATGGAGAATGATCAAGGGAGAAGTTCCCAGGCACAGTGGCCAGTACCCATTGATGCTTGAGAAATATTGGTTCCTTCTCACTTAGCAGAATCCTCCACTTGTCTGCTTATCAGTTTGCAGAAAAAATGTGAGTGATGTTTAAAGGTATAGGCTTGAAGTCAAAAAGTCTTGGGTTTAAATCTTGGCTCTGCCACCTCCTTGCTAGATGATCTTAGGCAAGTTACTCAACCTCCCTGCGCCTTTCTCTCCTTGTCTGTGAACATAGGAATAGTAATTGTGGTTACCTTATACAACCATTGGGAGAATTGTGAGAAAATACATGTAAATTCCTGGCATATAATAAACACTAATAAATGGCTAACTGAAATAAGTTATGTTAAAATTGGATCATTGGGAAAGAAAAATTTTGGCATTTAATGAAACATATGATAAGAAAAGTAGGGGGGGAAACATGCAGCTCTGCAGGGGGTCCTATGAAGATATGGGAAGGCCTCTTCAGTTTCTGAGTTATCGGTGAATTGATTCAAAGTCACATTTCTCTGCCTTTCCTAAGTCCCCCCCCCCCACACCACCTACCCTACTACTTTGCTTCAGAAAGGAAAAGGTTTTTTTATTGTTTTTTTTTTTTTCTTAAGGCAGCTCAGCGTCCTTTTTGTCCTTGATTTGAGGTTGAAGTCAGGAAACAGACGATGGGGTGGGGGTGGCGGGGAGGAAAGCTGTTTCATGTATCTCAAGAGATAAAGAAGAAAAGCATCTCTATCCAAAATGAAAATCCCGTTCTGGTGATAAGCCTTCCCCTGGCCCCAGCTGTCCACCCCACTGCTGTGGAAATGTTCAGCAAGATCGATCTTACCTGTGAGACCCTGTGAGAGTCATTCAAATAGCAAGAAGGAAAACCCTGAAGTACTCAGATCCTGACGTGAATTCCCAGGGACCTCACGGGCCTCATTGTGACCTATTGGGTCTCATGGAATGTACTATGGCTGCCTCCAAATTTCTGAACTTTTGTGATCTTGGACACAAAGAGAAAACTTGATGTGTGCCTCACATTAAACAGGATGCAAGAGAGACTCCGATTTAGAAATACCAATTTATGGAGGCATGGTTCAACAACTGCAGTTCGTCCCTCTACACTTCCCACGAAGATATGTCACTGTTTAATTTTCAGGTAAAATCTAGGCGCATGAATGAATGGTGATGATTTCTTCAAACATGAGTAAGAAAAATAAGCCAATAGCTACTATGAGAGTGAGGGAGCAGTGTGACCAAATTGCTGACTGATTTAAGAGGTTCCCAATTTTTGCCTTGTAAAGAGGTGGGAAAGATGAGGGGAGACAAGGATGGCTCACTCTTCCTTCAAGGGTGAATTCTTTGTGCAAACATTCAGACTTTCCATGGTGCTAGCACTCTCTTTTTCTCCCACCATTGATATAGCCCAATGAACATGATCAATGCCCAGAATATCTCTTACCATCACCCTCCCCAACTCCTCCTTGTAGCCTAATCTCCTCGAATCACCACTCAGCGCCCCACAGTTATGAGACTCTCCCAGTTCTGATAGAAGGGATACTCCAGCCTCGGTGCTGTGAAGGACAATGTGAGCATGGCGCCAGCACTGACTGATGGCACGTGGCCACTGTGGTGGGCATCAGTCCAGAACTATAAACTGTATTTTGAAAACTAGCTTTCAAATGAGAAATGGCATTTCAGCAGCAAAATTGAAGCAACCAAGTATCCTTTTATGAGTTGCCCAACTTCTGAATTTCTGTTTAACAAGATCAAAAATCATGAAATTGTGCTAGTGCTCAAGTCATTGGTAAGTAATAGTTCAGCTGATATTTAAAAACTGATGTAAATAAATGCATACCAATTAGCTGATGTGGAAAACTAAATCTCTTTGACTATGTCAGGCTAACTCTGAGCTTACTAATACCTCTTCAAGTTATGCAGGCTATGTGGAAAGATTTTGATGTTCTCAACCTGGAAAAAAGAACTATTGGAAACTAGTTCAGAGGAAAAGCACACTGTGAAGACTGATTCGGAAGTCACCTTTCCTGTAGAGTTATTATTCTAGCATGTAGGAAGGTGTCTGCACTTTTCAATTTCAATATTTAGAAATAATGAATTGGCAATCTTGAAATCACATTTTAGTCTGGCATGTGGTGCTTTAATAATATATCCTGGGGTATTGCCCTCCCCTGGTAAACAGATATACAGCAGGTTACTGAGGCCTCATCTCTGGAGGTGCCAGATGAAGGCGACGGAATGTTGTCAGCTGGAGAATCTGGGGCTCCCAGAGAATTGCTCCATTTAGAGCCAACTGTTCAACCTTAAACTTTAGCCTTCAACTTTTATCGCATTCTAATCAATGAACCAACTGAGAACTTGTCATTAACAATTTATTATTGTCCGGTCATAAGCCACTTGCTGGAATGAGGTTTGAGCTACTAGAATTAGCATTTAAGAAGTCATTTTGGTCATAGTGATTATCCACCTACAAAATTTAATGAAATCTGAAGGTTA